TATATATATATATATATATATATATATATATTATTTTATTATGTAAATATATGTATCATATAACTGTTTATTTATTAACTTATTTATTTATTAAATTATTGTTTTATTAAATTATTTATTCGCTTAATTTTGAAGACTTTGACTAGTGTTTCACATAAATTGAACTTATATTGGTGGTTATACTGGCTGATTAGCACTGCTCAGCACTATGGTGACAGATAACAAACATGGATTAAAAAAAAAAGTAGTTCCATTAGCATAAAAACAAATGAGAAAGTTCAATTCAGCCTCTGAACAATTTACGGCAGCAGCTCAAACATTCCAAATAGTTCTTTTCATACTCGACTAATTGCAGCAACCCGTCCAGAAATTCTCAGAATTGCAGAAAACTTCCACAGCTTCCATTTCCAAAGCCACCACAACATTTCCCTATTCTGATCATGCTTCTGCAGGCATCCATTTTAACATGTGTGAGTCGTATTGTCTTTGATCGGGGCACTCCCATGAAACCCAAGCCCGGAGCCCCCCGCCGAAACCGAAGCAAAATGCAAATTGCAGCAGGAGCCAAATTATTTGCATGTCTCTACCAAACACACACCAGGCTTTGCCACCACACAGCGCCGACTTCCCTTGTGCGTTATATAATGCGTTCTGACGTGAGCTAACATTATTCGGCTGACATCCACATCCACACAGACACAGACACAGACACACACAGACACACACACAGTCGTACACTAAGTCTTCCCTGGGATTTGTGACATTTTTTAAACGCATGATGTCACAATCTGAACTCACCACTTCATAGCAGAACCTCAGACTGCTTTTCGCTTTTTAGGAAATGTCTCTGTCTCCAACTGGAGCGAGTGTCCTCGAATGCCTCTTTTAAGATGCCTTATAATTTTGGAATAGTGCTGAATGGGTAAAAGGCACTATGGATAACTTGTATAAGACAAGCCTGCTATATAGGGCTTAGTGCTGCATTAGTGCCACAGCGACACAATATAATTTATGGACGCAGCTGAACGATACATCTCAAAAGTTGTAACGTTCCTCCACGTTGTCAGATCCTCTGCTGTGGGTTCCCTAGTGGACACAATGGAAATTTCAGGAGGGTGGAATCTGTTTCCATGGCAGCCCATCCATCCAGCCAGCGTTTCTAATAAGCGTTACCTCCAGACTGGCAGGAGAAGCTCTTGAAAACCCCCTCGTACAGTCTGCAGGTAATATTTGCTGTGATTCCTCAGCGGACTGGAGTTCAAATGGTGCGCTTTGACAACGCTCATCCCAAGCCATGAATCATTTAAAGCTTGTGGCAGAGCTGGAAATGTCACGTCCCCTGGATTTGAGCACGTGCACAGATTAAACCGGGCTAAACGGAGCATTAGAGATGTGTCAGGGGGAGGGGAAAAAAGAGCGGCGTCTCTTTGAATGTTTCTCAAAATCTTTATTATAACAGATATTCTGTAGAAATGTTCTGTGAGATAAATACGTAATATATTCAAGAAGACGTTCTTGAGGTCTTGAGGTTCGTCATGCATAACTAGAATACATCACAAGTAGTATGAAAGAGCCCTGTAAACATGACCACCTAATATTAATAAACCTGTGCACATGAAGAAAGCACAGAAAGATACGTTTCTTGTCAGGATCAATTTGGCACATCTACAGTTAATATGCTTTACGATAATAAGGTTACTGTCCGTAAACTGACGTTCCAGATCGGACCGGACATCAGATGAATGAAATGAAACGAAGCAGATCACGAGAATCACAGTTAAGCGACATACAAAACATTTATCGAACGCAAAAGTCACTTCTCGTCATCGTTCCATATAAAACGGTTGCTCAACCGTCAACACTGCAAAATATGTATCCAAAGATTTAATAAATAGCCTTTTTTTTTTTTTTTTTTTTTTTTATATACAGAGTGG